TAAAGATGGTGGGTATTTTCAATGCAACCTGTTAAAGATTATGGAGAGAAGTTCCCCCACTACTAAAGTCAAAGTTGCTCTTGGTTCTCGAAAAAAAGGGATTTTCAAAAATCATGAAGATATTTTGTAGCTTCCGTGTGTGTCAATGTACGTGATAAAATGCTGAAAAATTTCCTCTCTTTAGGTGATGTTTATCATTACTGAAAGTAGGCACCGAATGGCGGAAAATCATGAATGCTACCTAGCTTGTTGGGCTTACCTATTTTGTTGTGAGCCCAATTGAGAGATTATACACTAGGCTCGTTAAAAATCTGAGAAATTTTTCGTTGCCGTCACGTAAAAGTTCGTAAAGAAGTGCACCGGAACACAATTCTCTGTTTTCGTGGGAATTTTGAATCATCACTCAGAGTGAGCACCAAAAGCGAAAAATTGCTTAATTTTGCGAATCAGGTTGAACGCATAGAATTTTCAGCCTACTTCATTGGTCGAGGCTTTGTCAACAATTTGAGAATTTTTTGGTCGCCTTACCGTAAGATTAATCAAAAAAAGTTTTGCCCGAACACGCAATTGTGTCCGCCTAATCAGCGTCGTAGGCACATAACAGACGATAGCAAATCGTAAAGAAAACATAATTTGCGGAAACGCAATGAACCGACATCTCCCCCCCCCCTAAAAAAAAACCCTGAGACTCTCAAAAATGATGTTAAAACCATTCTTTTTCTGTGAAGTCCTCCGGAAAAGACATCAATTCAACGGGAAAATTAGAAAATTTGAGTAAGTTGCCGCTCCTCGGGCGGAGGGGCGTAACTCAATTTCCTCGTGAGCTGCGGTTCACATATAAGTTCATGCTTTCTGGGGCTCATACAGAAACCGAGGTACACCCTAACGTCAAAGAAGCGACGCTATAAGCAACCCAAAAGTTGGTCAATACAACAGTGGTATGAGACATTGTAAATGGAGGTAATGCCTCTAAAGGACCTATCACTTGTCACTAGCCCAATATCAAAAAACAGCAACGGCAACGGTCTAGCCAGAGATTTGGAATTGGATGAAGATGGAGTTTCCAATCGACATCCCCTCATCAGTCATTAGGGGATGAAAGCAATGTGTGAACAATGTGAATGGCAACACGGCAGGCTCCTCGCCGATACCCTTCGCAGTTCGCACCGCGGCAAGGCTCCATTCAGCCTGCCTCGCTTCCCGTTCCCGGAACTGCTCCTTGCACCGGGGTAACTAAAGTATAAGCTCAAGGAAAATTTTTTGTTTCTCATTTTCTGGGATTAACTTTTCTCAATGTATTCGGATTCTGCATAAAATTTCAATCAAAGTGATAGAAAAAAAAATCCAAAAAGTCAATTATTCACCCAGTAGAAAAATGTTTGGTATTCTGAATATTTATGAAGAGAGCAAATCAAGTAATTATCAGAACTAAAGCTGCCATTTTTTTGTCCTGCCACCACAACGCCTATGTGGATCCAAGTCTGGGAGACGATATGGCTTGAGGAAGTGAGTGTATTGTTGGGTTGGGAAAGGTACCAGCAAGGAGCTATTTTGGATTACCGGAGAGGGCAGTTAGTCAGAATGTTGAATTTTATCAAGGAAATGGGCCTATAGTCTGTCCGAGATGGGAAGGTCCGTGGAAAGTCGGAATTAATTGCACTATGTAGAAACAAGGGTAGCGTTCGAGCCATTGTAAGAGATGAAGACACTGAACCAACCCTGTGTCGTGGCGCACCGCACAGAGGGCTGACTCCTTATGAGTCGCTTGCCGCATCGCGCAGCTCGGCGCCTAGCACAGGAATTTGCGGCTCCAGGTTCATATCCCGGGAAAAACCGCCGCTCCGAGGTCCATAGCCTCCTGTGCGGTGGCTGCGGCGTGCGCGAAACATCGATAAGTGACAGTTGACGAGGGTCGAGACACCCCCACCCTGCAAAATAGTGCTAATTATTCCGACTTTCCACGGACCTTCCCATCTCGGACAGACTATAGTGCTGTTCAAACAGAACATTTCATTTAATGAGCTCACCATTTTCGTAAAATTCGCAATGATGATCAGCAAGTCTATTATGTCTATGTATAGAAAAAATGAACCACGGTGAATAGAAATGGTTTACCAAAGGGTTTGTCATGTCGCAGTTTTTCAATTTTTCTCAGTTTTAAATGCAACTTTGACAGCTGGTCGAGTGTATTTCGTGATTATACTACGGTTTTAGGGGTGCACATGTACCAGGAAATTGTTGAGCTATTTAATGTTTTTACCTCACACCGCAATCACAGGCTGAATGTGGGAGCTGAATGTGGCTTGAATGTGGAAGTCATCGGCCCGATGCCTGAATTTTGCGCGTGACGCGCAAAATTCAGCAACGATTCTCAGCAACCATCGGACCAATTTTGAATTTGTCTGAACTATTCGAGTAGATTTAATTCACATCTGGATGAAAATAACTCGAATTTGCTAAATTTCAGCCGTTGGGCGATGACTGTTGACTTCCACATTCAGGTGCTAAATTCAGCGTCTGATTGCGGCATTAGTGTTCCGCGGTTATCAACATCCATAATGTAGGGAGGAACCCAGTATGTTCAACGCTCCCGTGCGTGGGAAAAACACGGTTATTAGTTCCGCATAGCACTTACGGCTTTCTTGCCTAAAACTAGCCGAATATGAAGATAAATAATACCCTTATCATGAATTTGAAATAAAATCGGTCAATTTTTAATCATTCAAACGATTTCTGGGAGTCTTTCGGACGATTAGTGATATTTGAGAAAGAACGGAGGCCTCTTTCAGTACAGTTTTCTAGTCAGACGCTTCTGAGCCCGTTCTATCAAAATTTCATGTTTGCAGTCACTGCTCTCTTCGCTATTAGGTACGGTAGAATACCAGAGGGTCCGCCTTTCGCCTGCTCTGCGGTCAAACGTACGGGGATTAGTGTCTAATGTGAAATATCGACAAATCTAGAAGATACGTAATGCAACAAACAAATCGAAACCACAATGGTATGCAGTTATGCGAAGAAGATTGAACAATTGGACTATATTTTCCGATTTTTTCTTCTTTCTTTTTTCTCTTTTGGAACTAACATTTTAGGCTCTCGTCATATCCAAGTGAAGTGGTATAAGTATAATTCCAATCCCTCTCCCCATCAAAAAATTAATTAAAGTAACTCGATTTTCAGTTTTTTGGCGCGTATACGTAGTATACCGCCTTTGCGATCGTTTCGACCCCCCACTCGATACAATAACCGAGTCCCTTAGCTCCTTATACAGAAAAGTGACTACCGCGAACTTCTGAGATTTTCCAAAGCGTGTAAAAAGTTTATTTATCCGTCAATAATTATGATTTAAAGTTGTTTCTCATTCTGGGGCTTTCTAGTTTATGTGCAGTGAATACTAAGAGTCTACGTTACTTGGTTTTTTTAAAAAAAAGCCTAAGAATGCGCCGCGCTGATTTAAAATATGCATATATAAGCAGAAGCAAGCGAACTGATTCGATTTTGAAATCTCTGTAAATGAAAACTAAAGGGGTTGATATGTGCGAGTTAATGACGCGCCTTATCAACACATTGTGTTGGAGTTTACTGCTTGGTTTTTTTTTCAAATTCATTTCCTTTACTCTCTTTGGATTGGAAATATCCGAGAATATCCCGTGTCCTAACTTCCTGAGGGCTTTTCAGTTAATAAAGAAAACTCATCACAAATAAAATGACGGTAGATAAACTAACTGAGATCCCTTTCCGAAATATACCCTCGTTATTTGAATATTGCGGGGGGCATATCATAATCGATGAATATACTTATGTACGAAGTTGGGTTCAAACCAAACATGCAACTACTTTAACTCTGCGGAGTGCCGGATTGCATACGCTTGATTTTGCGGGCGAAATCTAAGATCTGCCCAGGCTTTCGCGATAAAGTTGCGAATGGGGGAAGTTGTATTTATTCAAATTTACACCCTCCTCTTTTAACTAAATTAGGGAAAATTTAAATTTTTAGTTCTTTTACGTGTAAAAAAATCAGGTTATCTGGTATGGTCATATTTAACGAATGGCGGATGAAAGACTGCCTGAGGAGGTACTGAAATAGTTTCCCCTTGGAAGGAAACGTATAGGAGACGCCCAGCAAAATCTTGGATTGGTGGCATTCAAAATGAAATTACGAGGATCTATATATTTACCGATGACCTCTGTTCCGATAGACAAGGATGGCGATTAGGTGTAGCAAAGCGTCCGCCGGGAGCACTGTAAAAGCGACGGGTAAATAACATAAAAAATACGTCATGATCATTGATCATTGATATTATGGTCGAATCAACTGAAAGCAATTTTTTGTAGATTGACTAATTAGGAATCAAAACATTTGTTTAAAATAAAACAATGTAATGTTGTCTAATAATATTTAAGCAATTTTTTTTTTTAAATTGAATGAGCCTCAAGATATTCAATATACGTTCCCTGCGGTAAACCCGTTTCACGATCGTGAATTTTTATGACACATAATAATTGTAAGGAGCCTATTGTGTAAAATATATGAAAGAAATGAGCGAGCATAAACAGTTAAGGTTTGAGAGGAAATAGCGAAGTATAGAAAAAGTAGATGTTATTGTTCTCATGCATCATTTCAGTCTGACGGGCGAAAACGAAACACGAGAGGACGCGGCCAAACCAGAGCCACCATCCCGTGCCTGGACAAGGCTTTGAAATCGCGGAGGTTGAGCAAATTGTCGCCGACCGTTGAATCAACTCGAAATCACTGATTCTGAGCGAACTATCCGGCCGTGGATAGTTAACTCAAGATTTCACTTTTTTTCGGAAAAGAGACCGATCCGAGGTCCTGATTTTAACCGCATGCGTTTCACATCCCCTCGCGCCTCCGAAGGGGTTGACAGCGCGGTACGCGTTCCGATCCCCGTCCAGATTTCAATACCGAGGGAATTCTCGGTACAGTTGCCTCTTGATACCTGAGGCCGAGGCAACTCGGATATGAGCTATTGCGGTCTCTGCCTCCTGCTTGGATTCGATCGCACCAATGAATAGCTCAGGACCATCATCTTCCGAATAATAATCGTCGCTATCAGTCGACTCCTCATCCACCAGTCTCACTTTTCGCTCAGCATACTTGCACACTCTTGAGAAGTGATTTGACCCATTGCAACTGTCACATTTTCTCCCAATGGCAGGGCACCTTCCAGAATAATGTTTGGTATTTCCACAGTTTTTGCACCTACTGTAGTTTCCCGTCCTTCTCGAGTCATCGGCTTGCACCTTAGAAGAACCGTACCGCCGACTTGATTGTCCCTTGTGCTTTGGGCCACTCGCATACTGCTTAGCACTGTTGGTAGTTCTTTGATGACTGCGCTGCTCTGTACTTTGCCTTGCATCGTCTTGATAACGTCTGCTGATCTTGCCTACCACAGGTTCAGTTGCATCCATCTCCTGCACCTGACGCCTTGATGCATCGAATGTTTTGATGATTTTGATGGCATTCTCCAATGTTTCATCCTGCTTCATCAATACTTGGATTCTCACCTCTTCAAACTTTGGAAGCAAATTTGCAATCATAATTGCTTTGACAATTTTATCCCTTTGATTGTCTAGGTTACAGGCTAGGCTTAAATTCTTCAAACTTGTGACGAACTCATCCAATGTCTCATCTTCTTTTTGTTTTCTTGTTATTAATTTATATAAAGCCATTTCTACATTCTTTTCTGGCTTGAAATGTGCATCAAACAATTCTATGAGTTGCTTGTGTGTGAGTTCGTTGTACTTCTTATTGAATGATGCGTATATGCTATATGCATCATCCCCAAGAAATTGTAGTAGCAAACAATTTCTTCTTGCGTCTGACTCTCCATCACACGTCGTTGCACACATGAAGATTTCGAATTTAGCCTTCCAAACCTCCCAGCGTTCAGCCATGTTCACTCCAGCCACAATTTCCAGCGGCTTTATCTTGGCAGATATTGCTTTCGTGGACCCATGGGATGCTGTTCCTCCATCGGTCTCTCCATTTGCACTTGTGTTCGGCATTGCTCATGCTTTGTGTTGGCACACTATTTCTTGATCTTTGCAGGAATTGCAGGCTACCTGCTTTGATTGATGGCACAATCTTAGGCTTCAATGGTTGTCACTGGCACATGGCAGTAGCACTCGCGACTTTTCCGTAACCGTATACCGTAATTACTTTTTCGATCGCGGAAAACCATCGGGTTTCGGCACCATGTTATGTTCGATGAGATGAAAATGAATCAACGCACTTTACGGAATTATAGATTTATTCATCTTTAATCACGAACAAGCCATTCCGGCAGCAGCTGATAACAGATAACAGATAACCTCCCTTGGATCACCTTCACCTTGCGCATGCGCACTATCCTCTCAGGTGTGGCATTACAGTCATTGCCAACCTGACTGCACTAATACTATATTTCACTATTACAACAATATCTCGATATATTGCCACCGATATAATCACGATAACCAACCTATAAAATCGCTATTAATCGCGATCACTGCTACTTGGGCTTATAATTTTTTGTACAAAATACTTTAGATTATACACAAATGTTAAATTCATTTGACAGGCGGTTTTTTGTAAAAAAAAAAAAAAGCAATGAATTAGAGAACACGGGAAAGTTTTTTCATACGGGACTCAAATCATACATATATACCGTTAGTAAAAATAATTTTCAGTTGCCAATGCGTCCCAAGATTATTTTTATTTTCCCCGTAAAATTTGTTGGATTACCAAACCTTAAAATGAATTGATATTTCTTTTTCAGTTGCGATCATTATTATTTTGATGGAACACCGCAGAGTTCCGTATGGAACTTTGATGAAGCAACCTTTTTTGGCGGCCGATTTTTAGAATTTTCGATGATCCTTTCAAAATGTTCAGGTTTGGTACCTATCTCCATATTTATGACTTAAAACCGCAGATCCCCATGACCTTGAGCAATGGAGCCTACTGTTAATACCTTAAAATTCAATTTAACTTATTGTAGAAAATGACACGTCTTCACGTAATATATTTGCCCGGATGTTGATTCTTAATTTAACTTTTAGAGGTTACGCACCACTCACGAAAACTTGAATTGGTTGAGGAGCCTAGATAATGATCGTGCTTGGTTAAAGCATTACTCACACCCTGATACGTCGTCGCGTCGCGGCTCGGCTGACGTGTTGTTTGTGGAGCTGGGAAGTTCATTAAGGAGACGAAAATTAAAATTAAATACTTTCATTGACGACAAATTGTCGGTCTCCTGCAGTGGACTGGGGATTAGCCCTGCATGGTTATTTGAAACATGGTAACGGTAGCAAAAAAAATAGGATAATAGAAAAAAAGGAGGAAAAACGGACATGCACTAGGCAGATACACTTCGTATCACGAACAGTATCGATAAATTTTACGTATAACAGCTATGCTATGCGCTACAAATGATGGCATGTGTCAGACAATTCATGCAATACCCACGCAATTCATTAACTGTGTAGTGCTGTAAACCCCCCCCCCCTTTTAACGGATTGCTCAAAAATAGCAATTTTTAGAAAAAAAACTCAATGCCCAAATCCTCTCAACACCTCACAAGAGCAGAAAAAACATTTGTTAGGTTAACGGATTATTGTTCGAGATTACTGATTTACAGCCCACCTAATTTTTGGTCACGTCATACTGTGGGAGGTTTCTGTTGAATTAAAACAATAAAAATACCGGTTTATCACTGAAAGCTTTTGCGGAGGCATTTTTATTCCTTTAAAATACTTATACATTTGATTTAAATTAAATAACTTATACAACTTAACTGGCTGCGATCATGAGCGGATATAAAAATGTTGATAAGAGGGGTAGATGGCCGATAGGGTTCGGCACACCGATTGATCAATGATCGGCTGGAAATTACAAATTCAACATGCCTTATTAATTTAGAAACGGAGACAAAAAGGCGAAGTTACTAAATTAAAATACATGACAGTCACTAATAAAGTAATTTAACATTCTTTTTGAAAACAAAAAAGGTAATAACGTACACATTATGAATGACGCATATTTTCTTTTATTGGAAGAGATCTTTTCCAAGAAGAAAAAAAGTTTAATTACGACTGTGAAGTGCGTTTAATTTTGCGGCCACGTTTTTCTTGCGTGCGTCCACGTTTTCGACAGAAGTTTTCCTTTCTTCGCTTAAATTATTACGCAGCACTTTTCTTTAAGAATCTGATAAGATTATGCTGGGGGCAGATCAAAAAACTAAAACTCGTTCGAATGGCTTTCTACATTCAGAATACACGGTCTCGTCAAATTGCGTCGTTGAAGTGTTGGATCGTATGAATTCTCTTGTTGTGCTACTTGCCTATTTTGAAATCTCTGTAAATGAAAACTAAAGGGGTTGATATGTGCGAGTTAATGACGCGCCTTATCAACACATTGTGTTGGAGTTCACTGCTTGTTTTTTTTTTCCATTGGATTAAACTCGTCTATGGTTGCCGTTCAAGGGTCATAATGGGTCTGTTGTAGGGTACGGGGATTTGCGGATTGGTTATTGATTATAGTGGCAAATTTCACGAAAAGAACGATGGCGCTACTAAAACAGCTTGAAATGTCCTCTCAAACTGGAAAAAAGCTGTTTTTGGAACCGTCCCATTCGAAACGGTCACTTTTACGCGGGAACTGATCCGGTACACTCGTTACGTCACATCTCATGACAAACCTGGTTTTCATCATTTACAATATATTTTCCGATAAGAAATTGGCAGCCGCTTTTCAAATGCAAATATATATCGAGTCAATTGAATTTTTTTTTATCAAAATGGAATTCAGAAATGGATTCCTTGAACGTTTAAATGAGTAAAACCTTCATTAATAAGAACCGACGGAATAGACCTCATTTTTAATGAAAATTGTATTCAATATACATAATTGTTTATATTGGCCATAGGTACTGATAACAGACATGAACGTTAGCTCAATACAGTGGACTCTCGATAATTCGAAATTAAAGGGAATCGGCTTTTTATTTGAAGCAGCGAGGTTTCGAAATAAAGAGAGTTCGAATTAAAGAGATTCCATGTGGAGAAATTTCGAATTAGAGAGGTTCGAATATGAGGGACAAATGGACGGATTTACGCCAAAAATAACCAAAAATATCAGTTTATTTCTTTACGGGAGTACAAATTACGCTAAGTTTATTAATTATTAACTATTTATATTTAATCAGCTGCTTACTAATCAGCTGATCAAGCTTTTCGCGGAGAGACTCACGGGACTTGTTTACATGTTGACAATCCTATCAGCTCTTTCAGACACCCAGGCACATATGACCAGTTGACTTCAAATTGTGGAGGGAATGTATACCGTCTTATTTAGAATTATAGAGGGAGGACCATATTTACTTCCCACACTTCGAATTACAGAGAGAATTTTCGTCGCAATTTCGAATTGTAGAGGGCCGCGCCAGCTTACAAATTTCGAAATAACGAGGGGAGAAAAATACATTGATTTTCTTCGAACTATCGAGAGATTTTCAAGGAAACAGACTTCCCTTCGAATTAACGAGGTTTTCGAATTATCGAGGTTCGAATTATCGAGAGTCCACTGTATTCAGCCATTTGCATGAGTTTTTACTTCTTTGTTACTACTTAAAAGTAAGTTTGTTTTTTTTTAATCAATGGGGTTGTTGCATGGTTTTTGGCGCGTATACGTAGTATACCGCCTTTGCGATCGTTTCGACCTCCCACTCGATACAATAACCGAGTCCCTTACTTCCTTACCGAAAATTGACTACCGCGAACTTCTGAGATTTTCCAAAGCGTGTAAAAAGTTTACTAATCCGTCAATAATTATGATTTAAAGTTTTTTCACATTCTGGGGCTTTCTAGTTTATGTGCAATGAATACCAAGAGTCTACGTTACTTGGTTGTTTTAAAAAAAAAAACCTAAGAATGCGCCGCGCTGATTTAAAATATGCATATATCAGTAGAAGCAAACGAACTGATTCGAGGATTTCTGAGCAGGTTAGCACTCTTCGAATGAGAATTTCACCCTTTTGTTTTGTTCAAAACGTTGCTTTGACAGATCTCCACACCCCTATTATGCTTTTCAAAATTTGGTACCACTGCTCTGATAGCCACGGCAGCCGTAAGTGCAATCTGTGATGAGCCTCGAGACTCATTAGATCATTTGCTAAACGTGGCTCATACAGGAATCCACTTAGCCCTCTCGTCCCCACGCTCCTGATCACTGCGTCGGTGTCTCGACGAACAATAGCTGATGAGGGTCGCCAGGCGGCCGGGATCCTCTGCCCCTCGCCCAATTACTTACGCTTGATTAACCATTTCACCGTCACGCTAAGATTCATCCGATTTTCATTTCGCGCGTATTTAGCAATTTTTTCCTTACACTCCGTTAAAACACGAATAAAAAGATGCCTCATTCATAAAAATCGACCGAATAGAAGAGAAGTTACAGTATTCGAAATCCAAAGAAATCGACGAAATCTCGATTTTTCCATACAAAAAATAAAATGAAGGGGAAAAAATAAATATCGACGGTGAAACTACCAAACCACGTATCTCGTTTGCGGTGTTAAAAAATCTACGCTCACATTTTATTTTTTTGAAGTAGACCAAATCAATATCATTCCTTGAAATTTTCACGGAATTTTCTCCGCACAAAGAGGAAAAATCACAGAAATTTTCAAGACTGGATGTTAAGTAGTTTTTCATTTAAAAAATAAAGTATGACAGGAAGTCTGCGACGTCGCAAACCGAGATACGTGGTTTGGTAGTTTCACCGTCGATATATAAATTACAATTAAATATAATTGACCTCGGAATTTTTCGAGATTAACATTACTTACATATTATATTGTTTCATGATAAATAAATTCACCCAAAATGACTACAGCGTATTGACTTTTACATATGCGCACTCACAAAATTGATTCATAAATTCAACGAGTGGGTACATCGACCTGGTGTATCAAGTTTCTGCGATTATTTACGGCAAATCGGTAGATTTTCGGGATGTAGATTGCTTACTTTCAATTCATGAATGAATAAAGCATGGACATGGTTCAACTTCCTTGCATGGAAACACGTTTAAAATAACAAAATCAATACATATTTAATACAATTGCATTTATATCGAGTCAATTTCTTTTCAATAATATAACGGGATTTATACTACCGATGATTTGGGTATTTTAGCCCCAAAATACCTTAAAATCGACTTTATCTTCTAGGAGTTCGACAGAATTTTTCCTTCCTTCGCATGAATTATTCCGTAGCACTTTTCTTCAAAAATCTTATAAGATTTTGCTGAAGGCAGATCAAAAAACTTAAATTCGTTCGAATAGCTTTCTAGATTCACAATACACGGTCTCGTCAAGGTGTGTCGTCGACCTTGTAGAGTTGGATCGTGAATTCTCTTGTTGTGCTGCCAG